TAACAAAAATTCAACAACAAAACAAGATTAAAAACTGGGCAAAGTGCCTGAATTGATGTTTCTCCAGAGAAGATATACAAATGGCCAAGAAGTACATGAAAAGATGCTCAACATCACTAGTCATTAGGGAAACACAAATGAAAACTACACCCATTAGAATGACTACTATCAAAAGAAACAGAAAGTAACGAGTGTTGACGAGAATGTGGAGACGCTGGATCTCTCGTGCAATGTCACCGGGAACATAAAACTGTACAGCCACACTAGAAAACACCATACGGTCTAGCAATTCTCTCTGGGTAAGCACACAAAAGAAAGCGGGGTCTCAAAGAGATATTTGCACGCCCAAGTTCATAGAGCATTATTCACTGTAATTAAAACCTGGGAGAAACTTGAGTGTCCATTGACTGATGAATGATCAACCAATGAATGAATAAAAAAAGGGGGGTTATATACATGCAATGGAATATTATTTAGGAAAGAAATTCTGACCTGTATTACAACATGGGTGAACCCTGAGAATATTATGCTATTAGAAATAGTCAAGTCACAAAAATAAAAATACTTTATCATTCCACTTAAATGAGGTACTTAGAGTAGTTAAAATTGTAGTGACAGAAAACAGACTGTGGTTGCCAGGGCTTGGGGGAACAAGAGAATAGGGAGCTAGTGTTTAATGGCATAGAGCTTGAGTTTTTATAAGACAAAAAGAGTTCTAGAGACGGATAGTGGTAATGATAGCACATTATGAATGTGTTAAATACCACTGACGTGCATGCTTAAAAATGGTTTTTAGACAGTAAATTTTATGTTTGTGTGTTTTACCACAATAAAAAAAAATTAAAAGAAAAATACTGTGAAAAACCACATAAACATAAGGCCATTTTATTGTTTACTACCAACTTGTCCTTTTCTAGCTCTGGGCAACAAGAGATCTAATTAAATTGGCTGGCTACTCTACTTACATTAATATATGTTTTTACTTCACAATCAGGCTTCATTTGCCTCACCAGGACTTCCTGTTCAGCACTCTTTACATTACATCTCACGGCACAATCCATAAATTTATGAATCAGTGACATGTTTCTGGGAAACCCCTGTTGTCCTGTTTCTGTCAGAGCCCTGGTGAGCACAGAGGAACTGAGGCTCCAACGTTACCACTCTGTACCCCACAGCCTTGTGACACGGGTCCACCCATGGGAACCGCATAACAGTGCTGGTGGCTGTCCTCATCCCCAGCCTCTTGAATAGTTGAGAGAGGGCTGGAATTTTTTTCCACACATTTCAAAAGGCACGTTTACATTTTAAGTGTATGAGCAAATGGACTAAGCAAGGAGAGAAACTGGTGCTGTAAGGAGAAAGACTCAAAACACTCTAATTCCAAGAGACCAGAGTGGTTCTGCTCGGGGTCCGTTACCAATGAGTCAGATACCACTGGGGTGGTATCTCCTCCAGGCACATGGTGTGCTTCCTGGAATTCTACTCTTTTTATTCATCCACCAAGGTCAGGTCTATCGTGTCTTCTAAAGCTGTGGGATGGATCTGAGAGCACTGCTCTCTGCAATTTGTCTTCCCTCTTGATTTGTTTGTTGACTATTAATAAATAATACTTACGGAAATGTAACTTACATACCACTAAATACACCTTAGAGAATGTACAATTCAGCAGTTTTCAGTGTATTGACAAGATTGTCTTCCCTTTGTTTTGCTTCCTTTTTTATTTCCTAGGGAAAGGACAGAGTCCTTAGTCATTGACTCAACACGTATTTGATGAGCACATAAAAAATGAAATAAAAATCCCTGACCTCGTGGAGCTTGCATCCCTCACGGAAAACAAAAACAATAAACAAATAGAATAAGCAAACTATGGAGTATGTCAGAGATGACACAGCAGAAAAAATGTCACAGTAACATGGGGGAAAATGGCAGGAAAGGGATACTGGCAGGAGAGGGGTTACCATTTTAAGTTGGGTGGTTAGGGAAAGTCTCAAAAGAAGACAATTAAGTGAAGGTCTGAAAGAACTGAGTAAATTGTGTTTTTATCTGGGGGCAGGCGGTCTAGGCAGAGTATGAACAGTAAGTGCAGAAACCATGAGGTGAAAGGTGTGTTCCAGAAACAGCCAGGAGGTTTGTGTGCCTGGAGCTTAATGAGTGATAGGGGAGAACAGTGGGAAGGAAATAAAGTTTGGGCTGGGGGGTGGGCAGTGACCAAACCATATGGGGTCTTGAGCCACTTGTGAAGACTCTGGCTTTTATTCTGAGTAAAACGGGAACCACTGTGGAGTGTTGACCAGAGGAATACCATGCACTGATTTTCTCTGAACAGGATCATGCTGGCTGCTGTGTAGACTGTAGAGACAGACTAGTAGGAGACTGATTATGATAGTCAAGGAGAGAACAGGAATGGCCTGGACCAGGTGGCAATGGAAAAGATGATGAGAACAGGTCAGATCCTGGATATATTAAGAACATGGGGCCAACAGGCTTGGCTAATGGAAAGAAGTGGGGTGTGGAAGACGGAGAGGTGGAGACTGACCCAGATGAGAGCTGCACTGCTGAAGGGTGACAGCCAGTTGGTGGGGCTGGTTAGGCGGGTCTGGAAGGGCAGCTGGACAAGCTGCATTTTCCCCAAAGGAAAGTTAAATGTTTAGGCCTGAAAACATGTGAGTCATCATTCTAGAGCATCTCATATTAGTAAGGAAAAAAAATTATATTTGTATCACACTATTTTCAAAATATGACCTAGAACTTTAAGCATCAAACTTCCAAACAGATTATGTGTATAATATTTTCTACTTTGAGGTGAAAGACCATTATTTGCCCATTGCTTAACCAGAGGTCAGCTTCCTTAACTGGGAAATTTAACACGTCGCAGCTATTGCTGGAAATTGGCAAAGGATTGGTTCCATTTGGGATTCCTCTTCCTGCCTAATTTAACTGTAATAAAACCTTTCATATATGAAATAGATTAATTTAAGTTAACCACATCGAGTACTTGTATTACTACCGCAACTACCATCTAACAGTTTCTTTTTGTTAAGAAACTCTGCATGGCGCTGTATCTAAATATTGGATATAAGCTTGCACTGAACCCAGCTAGTACCAGGTTGTGTTTCTTTCCTTCCAAACCTCTATTCAGTGACATCACATTGGTGGCTTCGAAAATCAGCCACGGTAGGAGGATTCACACCACAGAAATAGCCAAACACTGCAAGTCAGGGCTCCCACTGCCCCCCTCCCCCTTCTCCAGCAGGTTTACCAGCATGCCACAGAGTTTGGTAGGGTATAGATTGTGAATGCCAGCTTTAGGCCACATGGTGGTGGCACTGGGGGAAGGGAAATGAAAGCCATTTGTCCCAGGAGGGAGGAATTCTTTATCATTGATATTTAGAATTGCTCGTTTGTAAGGATCACCAAAATCAGATTGGCTTTAAGTCTTTAAATTCTCTGGGGGGACAATGCTTATCTTTATTGCCTGGGCGCAGGGCACACCCTTCCCAACCACTCCCACCTCCATTCTTTCTAATCCTCCTCACTGCCTGGTCATCATAGGTATGACATTTTACCTTACAGAGCCTTAGTTTCCTTATCTATTCAATGGGGATCATAAAATCTACTGCCCTGGCTTACTGTGAGGATTTGAGACAACATAGAGTCCATAGTATATGTTCAATTAAAGGTAGTATGAACGAACCTGGGCTGGCTTCCTTATAGCCCTAAGAGAAGGGGGAACCCTTTATTGCTCATCAGCATCTCCATATCCACTGAGCCTCACACTCTCTGAGCATCTGTTGATGCTGTTGCCCCACTTGGGCCACTGCCCTCCCAACCCGTTTCTGTATATTCACACTCTGCTCATCTCTCAAAGTTGACCCAATTGCTACCACCTCTATGAGGCTTTTTCTTATTCCCCTGGCTGACATATCTCCCCTTCCTCTAAAATTCCTTGGCCTCTTGGGGGAATCTCTGGCACTACCCCAGATCCACCAGATTAGAATCTGCATTTTAACTAGATTCCTGTGATTGGTACACACATTAAGGTTTTGTAAGCCTTACTCTACACCACTGGTTCTCAAACTCAGCTGCACATTGCAATAACCTGGGGAGTTTTTTAAAATGCTTAATGCCTGGACTCCATATGCAAGAATTCTGATTCAGTTGGTCTGGGGTGCAGCCTGGGCATCAGAACGCTTTAACACTCCTAGATGATGCTAATACGCAGCAGAGTTTGAGGACCACTGCTGTATAAATTCCCCCTATCATCCTTACAGGGCCGGCACACTCTAATGTGATGATGTTAGATGACTTGTTACCATGTGTGTTTTTCCACTTCTATTAAATTATGTCTTTTAAGAGCAAGAATTCTTTTTAATAGCATTTCTATAATCTCCTACCTAACAATACCTAGCCAAATAACAGGAATTTAATAAATATTTATTAAATGAATAATGAACAACTTATTTATAAACTAAAAATGTTCTCTCAATACCATCAGTGTGACTTTTGTCCTGATTTGGAGACTGGTTGAACATATTCTTGAAATTATCAGGTGATTTCCTCTTTAATTCCAAGACCAAATCTCTGAAGAACAGAAGGCTTGTGGCTAGAATGGGTTTATGTAACATTTTTTAAAACTTGTTCTTATTGATTTGAGAGAGAGAGACATCTATTTGTTGAGTCACTTATTTATGCGTTCATTGGTTGATTCTTGTACGTGGCCTGACCTGGGATCAAACCCACAACCTTGGTGTATCAGGACAATGCTGTAACCAACTGAGCTACCCAGCCAGAGCTAGAATGGGTTTTCTAAATAAGAACAGACTCTCTGGGTACCAGCACACTGGCCACTCCCATCCACATGAGCTCTTATAGGAAGTTGCAGCTTAAATCCTAAGACTCCAGAGGGCCCCGCAACATGAAGCAGCCCCGCCCACATGCCACGCATCCAATCCAGAATTCTTGGCTGCAATATGATGATGTTATTGTTTCTTCCTCTCCAGGGTGCCATTCTGATATTTATGGGGATTATTGTCCTCACTATGAAGGCATCTGTTATTGAAATGTTCCTTGGTAAGTACTGTTATACGTGTGTCTGGATACACTGCTAACATTCTCCTAAGGTCCAAAGAATCCTGCCAAGAAAAGGTTTAAACAGAGTATATAAACAGCACAGAGTATCTTTTGATAATAAACCTTTTGGAGAGACGTTGAAGTGAGAATGTCAAGTACAGATAAAATTCAGGGTATATGCGTATATATATTTTTATATATAGCAGGTACACTCATTACATTGGAGTGTGTGCACATATCACACACACACATATCTGTGTGTATATTCTTTAGCAATTAACAAGTAGTCCAGATAGAACATATTTACAGATTTTGAATTTAGAGATCTGCTTATCTCCTAATCTCTCAAAAATTGTATCACTGACAATGGCTTCATTTGTACCACTGGTAACTCATATCTTCAGAGATGAAACCCTTTACATTTATCCATTATCACCACAGAAAGCAATTCCAGGTAGGCCCTGAAGAATCAGCAGGTCAGCCAGAAGAGGGAAAAGCACTGATGGGTTTAGCAGGAAGCTCGAGGGTAATCTTTTGTTAATCTTGACCCCATTGTGCTGAGGATTTCTCAGGTCAGACTGTTGCCAGGAAAGACGTTCAGACAGACTCTGTACTAGAGTCATAGGGTGGCAATAACACCCAAACTGGGGAGCAGGGGCCTAGAACAAGGGAATTTTATTCTCTCACGACCCTGCAGACCAGAGTACAAAATCAGGGTGTTAGTAAGGCCGGTTTTTTCAGAGGGTAAAGTCTGTTCCATGCCTCTCTTCTAGCTTCTGGTGTTTGCCAGCAATCTTTGGTGCTCCTTGGCATCGGCCCGCCTCTGCCAGCATTTTCACATGGCATTCTTCACCTGTGTGTGTGTTTGTATCTGTGTGTGTGCCCACACTTCCCTCCCCTTTTTATAATGACACCAGTCAGTCATATTGGATTGGGGACCCAACCTACTTCAGTATGACTCTGTCCTAACGTTACTAATTACGTCTGTGATGACTATTCCCAAGTGAGGTCACATTCTGAGGTATTGGGGTATAGGGCTTCAACACATGAATGGGGGGCACAAGTCAACCCATAATACAGTCAGAATGTTCAAGGTCTGTGCAGAGGGAGTATGCAGGGCTGAGTTGGGGATGAGAAAAGAAGAAGGTGACACAGGCTCTGGCATGTGGCATCTGGACTGGGAGTCAGAGGGAGCATGTGGGTCTGGTCCTGTCTCCACCACCCGCTTGCTAAGGAATATCCACCTCGGAAGCACAGGGTCCTGCATTTCTACCTGGCCCTTCTGAGAGGCTGTCTCCCCTCCATGCTGACCTACAGGTTCACAGGTTTTAAGCATAGGGCAGGATAAGGGAGTTGGGAACAGAAAGGATTCAGCTACTACAAACCAAACCACAGAAAGCCTGAGGCTATTTCACAAGCTGCTACGTCCAGGCATCGCAGAACCGGGAAAGGAGCCTTGACTGTCCCTTCTGGTGCCAGCCTCTCCCAGCCTGCCGTTCTGCAAAACTCTTTTCCCCCCAGGGCTGTTCCTTCAGAAAGCAAGAGATCAAAGTAGGAAAGGGAACTCCTATCACAAATTCCCTTCCAACATCTTCACATCTGCCTCCCAGTCATCTCTCACATTTGTCTGCTTGTTCCCACCCCAGGGCCACTCCCTTAAGTTCCCCATCACCTCTCCTTAGCACTGTGACAGCCTTCCTGCCCCTCTAAATTGCTCTCTACTACACTCTGATTAATCTCCCTAAAACCCACTTCTGATCTCTTGCCTTAAATTCCTCAGTGTTTTCCCTTTGTCTTTACAATGAAACCTACATCTAGCTCTCCCTGGTATGGCTGTTACTATCCTCCTGCTCCCTGCCTACCACATGCCCCCCCCTGACTTCTGGGGTTTGGGAAGTACTGATCTTCTCATTCCCCCGAGGGTCACATCATACCTCACCTCCTAGCCTTTGATTCTGCTGTTCCCTTTCCTGGAATGCTTTTCCTCTTACTACCAAGCCCCACAAACTCTGCTGGTCCATGGGAAGTTTCCCTCTTCCCCACACTCTATCAGGCCACCATCCTATGTGATTCTTTGGCACCTGAATTGAACCTCATCATAGCCGTGTGGCATTCACTTCGCCATTGTTCTGGCTCCCCACAAAAGCTCTGTCTTGCTCATTGTTGCATTTGCAGTGCTCAGCACATCACATAGGCATTCACGCAGTGCCTTAAATAAAGAAACTATTTTCCTTAGGAATGCTAGATGTTTAAGGTAACAGAGCCCAGTTCTGCCCCTGTTTTGTTTTGGGTGACAAATTATGATCAGAGACTGAGTTTGTCTTTGCCGGGAATGCACTGAACACAGGTTCACTGCAGGAATTTCACAAGCCAGCCACGTGCAGGATAATGTCTTTCAATGAGCCAATAAAGAAATAGCGTACTCAAAATAATGATGAATTAATTACACTCTCTTGCCAGGCAAGGAGAGAAGAAGTCCAAATTTAGATGAGGTGTATCTTTTTACTGGGTTGGCCAAAAAGTCCACATGTTTTTTTCCCCCATAAAATAAAAGACACATTTTTCATTTCCACTGATAATGTTATTGATTTGGATATTTTGAGCATGTCAGCTTATCATCTGTGTCAAATAACATTGATTGTTCTCAATTAATGTCTCGGTTTGATCACTATCAACTTCAACTGGTTTACCTGCTTTGGAGCATCATACAGAGAGAAATCTCCACCATAAAACTTTGCAAACCACTTTTGACACATTTAATTAGTTATGGCACTTTCTCCACACACTGCACAAATCCTTTTTTGTGTCTTTTGTTGGCATTTTTATCTTTCTTGAAATAATAAAGCATAATATGCTAAAAATGCTGCACATTTTCTTCCATCTTTGATATTAAGATGGATACACGAGACTTCACAAATTTTGATAAGTTTTTTAAAATGCACGTTAATATGACAGTTGTCACAATACAATCTAACAAAATGGTTTCTCATGAAGTTAAAGACAACTAAGTGCTACTAGAGCCATCTTACAGAACAAAACAAACAGACCTTTTGGCCAGCCCAACGTGTGAGTAGGCACTCAAGAGAGTCGGCTTAACCAGCTGGCAGCTGCCCTACAGCTGGGAACGAAAGAACAAAAGTCACTTGTAGTCACAGTGCTTTTCTAGGGAACGACGGCACTGGTGCTGCCAGGCAGCGTGGTCCTCACCAGGTAGACGTGTGGCATTCACCACTGTCTTGGAGAAGTCCTCTTGCCATGACAAGAGCTAATGTCCCACCAGTTTTCCAAGAGTTGTTTAGGTCAGCAAAGTGCCTCCTTGCCCTGGCTGAAAGTCTTGAACAGTCCTCGCAAACCCTCAGTATTTATAGTTTAAATGTCTTCTTGTCACAGTTGTTGCTCCACATGTTCTTGTGGATAAGCCTCGGCAGGGCCTCTCAGAATCTGGGTTGCTAACTGGGTATCAACAACAACAAATGAGATGATGACATCCTGACACACCTGACTTAATTCTCACATCAAAGCAATTTTACTACTAACCAACTTTTTTTGTCTTTCCCATAAACAAATGGGTTAAAACAACTTAAGTCATAAACCAGTGGATTTGAAATCCTGTCAGGTCAATCAATACACAACAGCACCCAATTTCATCGTGGGTTTCTTTTCCCCACACCAAGCGATGCCCCAACACCAGCTGAGTGTCCTACAATTTATCTCAATTCTGACACTACCTACCTGGAAACAGAACCAGGATGCAGGTTAAGGGCTCAGTGCCACTAGATTGGCATCTGCCTTCAAATGCCACTCATAAGTCCAGGTTATTACCCATGCTTCCCCAACCCTTTTTGGATTCAGTTAATTTGCTAGAGTGGCTCACAGAACTCAGGAAATGCATCCACTCACTAGATTACTGATTTATTACAAATAACATTAACAGATGTGATTCCACAGCCAAATGAAGAGATGCTGGGTGAGGTCTAGGGGGAGCTTCAGTCCTCATGGAGTTTAGGGCCTGGCTCGGTAGCACACAGAAACATTCTGGTTTCCTAACCTAGACACTCCCAAACCCCATCTTTTTTTTTTTTTTTTTAATATGAAGACTTCATTAGATAGACATGATTGATTAACTCATTGATCATGGTGACTGATTCAACCTCCAGCCCTTCTCTCCTCTAGGGAAATCAATCAAGGGAAAGTTCCAACCCACTATTCATGCTTGGTTCCCCTGGCAACCAGCTCCTTCATCTTTAGGGGATTCCCAAAAGTCATCTCATTAACATAAACTCCGATGTAGTTGAAAGGGACTTGTTATGAATAACACAACACCCATTTCACCTTTATGACTCTGAAGCAATTGCAGGGACTAAGGACAAGATACCAAATACTATTTTTTTTAAAAGATGCTCCCATTGCTCCTATTGCTCAAGAAATTCTGATGTTATTCGGAGCTATGAGCTAGATTGTGACCGAAACTGTGGCCAGAAGTACAAAATATATATTCATTACACATCACACAATCACACAGTGTCATCCAATGATCCCCCAAAGCCCTCTAAGTTGATTAATCTGTGTCAGAGTCAGCACGTTGGTTCGGACAGGTTTAGATTTATGATGTAGCAGAGTTTTACGCTGCCTGTTGTCACTGGAACACCATGTGTAATCAACGGCTGCTCTTAGAGGAGCAAGTGGAAGCCTCTGCAAAGGCTGTGGCCAGCAGACTTGCATTCAGGTTCCAACTTCACCCCCAAAGAACTACACCTTTAGCCAACATGTACGCCCTGACCTTGGTTTCTTCTCTGTAAAATAAAGAGATGACGTCCAAAGCTCCTCCCAGGTTTAACATTCTATTATTTAAAGCACAGTTTTGTGATTCATATGATTGTAGAGAATGGTGTCCAGCCTTTGCTACAAAGCTCTGATTTACATGATGCTAGATGTTTCATTGAGTACGTAATCCTGAATTGAAGCATGGGGGGAATTTGAACTTTTTAAAAATGATCTGCTTTTTAAACCAGTTTTCAGGAAAATATTGTGGACACTGTTAAAGAGAACCAGAGCTGGACAGTAGTAAAAACAGACTTGAACCAGACACTATTGCAAATGGGGAAAGGAGACCTCAGTATGGAATTGGGCTCAGTTGCAAAGACAATGATGGAAGTGGGGCTGTGCAGCCAAGGGGAGGTTGCAGGGCTCAGGGGATGGAAATTTCTAAGAAGAGACATCAAAGGAAGGGGGATTCTTGCTGAAGCAACTTGGGAGAATTCTTGCTAAAGGCAGACCAGGGTGATCAGACCTCATGGGGGAGGGCTCCCTCTGACCAGGATTCTTGCTAAAACTGGGCAGTGCAGTGCAACAAGGATGGACATTGCAGCCCAAGGTCCAAGCATAGGTGAGGAGAGGGCTTAGAGGAGCCTGACTACAGTTAGGTCAACACCACTTGAGTTATCTTTAGGTCCTAAACAGATCTAACAAGAAGTTTATGGGCTAGAATGAGGCATTTCTTTAAAAGTTCCAGACATATAATAAGTGTGTCATAAGTACTTACTGATTTGATCATTGATTATATGTTCTGGCACTTCATGTCTTTTCTTGAAAGTAAATGGATTCAAATTATAGTTCATTAATGACAGGAAAACCAGAACACAAGTTCCTATGAACTGTGTCAATGATTTTAGAAAGCACTTTTTTAATTATAAGTCCATATGATTTCAATATGGACAATTGTTAAAAAACAGTAATATTGGCTTTTTCTAATTGTAAAAGAAATATATTCTGAATAAAATATAGAATATATATGAGAAATATACTACAAAGTGGGAAAACACAGAAATGTAAACTAGAAATTAGAAATTATAATTTCCTCATTAGCATGCGTTGTGTTTGTTGTTTCTCCCTACATATATTCTTATTTTGTCATAATCATTTAAAAATTGTTATTTTTCAATTACAGTTGTCCCCATTTTTCCCCCATTACTCTTCCCTGCCCTACCCACTCCCACCTCCCACATTCAGTCCTCCTCCCCATCATTTTGTCCATGGGTCTTTTATTAAACATGCTCCTTGACTTGACCCTTCTTCTTTTCCTCCCCCCCACCCCCGTTATCAGCCTTCACTCTCCCCTCTGGTTACTGTCATCTTATTCTTTATTTGCATGTCTCTGGTTCTATTTTGCTCTCTGTTTCATTTTGTTGATTAGGCTCCACTTATAGGTGAGATAATATGGTATTTATCTTTTACTGCCTGGTTTAGTTTACTTAGCATAATGCTCTCCAGCTCCATCCATGTTGTCAGGAAGGGTAGGAGTTCTTGTCAGGACCATTCTTAAGGTTAGAGCTCAGCACGTCCCAGGTCATTTAATCTTCTACGGATCATGTGTAATAAATGCTTAGAAGTCCCATATTGTTGGAACATTTGCAATATTTCATTATTTCCAGATTGCCACTAGAAATGATGCTGTAATGAACATCTTTTACATAAATCTTTGTCTACAGCCTTGATTATAACTTGAGCTATATTCCTAGGGGTATTTATATCTTTTTTCTAATTCTAGGAATTAGAAATATTTTAAGGTCATTGATATGTATTAACAAAGGTTTTCCAGAATGACTACCTTTTTAGACTCTAGCAATAGAATGCCCTGACCCCCAACCCAATCCAATCCAATCCTTAAACACAGGATTAAGTCTAATCTTGTGTTTAATCAACATTTACTGATGTGCTGTGGGGAACCATCTACTCACTTTATTTTAGTTTGCATTTTTAATCATTAATGAGACTGTGTGTAGTTTCAAGCTAATTCATTTGTATTTTCTTGATCTATAAATGATTTAATCGAATTTGAAAACAATCATACCTCAGCTATGATAACTGTACTGATAGCCACACTAGAGAGGAAGAGACAGGAGTGGGGAGAAGTATTTTATTGGGAAAACAATGTCAATATTTCATTTATTTTGAAATGTCTAGTGCTACTAAGAAAGGTAAGAACTTTTCATGCTATTCTAAACCAAAACACTTAATTCTGAAAAACTGAAAGGACTGCTACAGAGTAGGCAAATCATGATTGCCTTGGAACTCTGGCGTCTAGACACAATTTCCTCCAGGCTTCTAGACACTAAGGGCCTCAGTGGCCAGATGACAGCCTACTCCTCCAGGAGGGACTGGCTTTAGCACCTGTGTTTGCTTTGTACTTTGACGTGAGCATCGCCATCTCAGCACTCTGACTGGTTTCCTAAGAAAAGGAACACAAGATGGATTTTTCCCTCATCCAAATTCAACACACAATTCATCATTTGCAATGTGGCAAAAGAAGTCCTGCTGAGGAATAAGGACCTGCTGCAGGGCACAAGCACTTTTGCAGCCATACTGACGAGGCCTCACCTTGAGGAGTAACTTCTGGGGAGCTTTAATTGACAAGTACCAAAGACAAGGGGATGCCTGTGTGCCACTGAAAATTGGGACTTTACTAAGCACAGCTATAATGTAAAACCGAACCCAGCTACACACGTTTTCAGCCTGGCAGGTCTTGGCTGAGCAAATGCGAGTGATGGGTGGTCTTGCTGGAATATTTGCAGTCCTAGCGACACCAAGGCTTATAAACCACTTGCCACAGACACACAGGCTCAGCACAGGACTTGGTTTTTCCACAAAAATGAATACCCAAATTTACCACTACTTTATTTGCTCCATCTACTTACCTTGTGCCATTTTCTTTCTGTATAATATTTAGCACTTGTTTTTTAAAAATATTCAAGGATAATATTTATTTATTTTTGTCTACAAAATGAAAATGTGGTCTTTGCAATGTTAAATGACACAGAGGCTACTATAAAAATGAGACCTCCTAAACCCTCACACAGGTCCAAACCCCAGAAGTAAATAACACCTCAAAGCGTCTGCCTTCATTCTACGGGCTAGACTGCAGGTTCTCGCCAAGTGCTCTTTCTCGTTTCTGTTCTTACAGGACGTGGTATGTCAGCTGTCTCAGCCTCGGCTGATGCTAGCAGTCAAAACCGGGCATAATTCAGAGCCTACACCATGGCACAGATGAGCTAGAGAATCACAAGACAAACAGAAAGTTTTTATACAAACATTTGGTGACACTGCCACTTTTTATTTTAAAGATCGCTGGCAATTCAAGAATTTCTAAGTCCATTTATGCCTAAATCAAGCCTCTGTGTTCTGTTAAAAAAACAAACACATAAACTAAGAAGTAAAATGTCTATTTTGATTATTTATTGCCCCATGTTCACGACCAGAGTCCCAACCCTATGCAGAAAGTAGGTTTCTCAGACAAGTGGCTAACATAGAAGTAAGTGAGGGCAGTACCACCTTTGGGTGGGTAAGGACAAAGGATGCCTGGAGAGGGAAGAAGAAGAATAGAGAATTGACTGGACTAGCCTTTTGAAAGGAAAAACATTGCCTTTCGATCTACTGGTAGAATTAGTATAGGTACAGAGAAGTGAGCATTTTGCCAATAAAAAAACTTCACAATATAAATCAAAATTTAAATGGGCATAGCTTTCAGACAAGAAGTCATATTTAGGGATTTATTTTAAGGAAATGATCATGGATCAGTGCAAAGATGGAGCTATTTACATTAAATTGGAAATTGGCCAAATTATAATATACGCATATAGTGTACATATTTACAGGCAATTAAAATTACAGTAAGAGTAACATTTAATGACAAAAAAGTCTGTGTATATCCTTACATAGAACTAAGTTCTAAAACATTGTAAACAGTATGAGCATGATTATTTGCTTAAAAGTACCCACATGAATACACACATATAGAAAAAATTGAAAATATGCTTTTGTGTTCATCCATATTTTGTGTACTGCTTTTTGTGTTTTTTATATTTTTCTACAAGGAACATACATTATTTTGTTAATAAGAAATATCATTGTTACTTTTTAAAACACAAGACTTGAACTGGTAATGTGACATTGAATTAAAAAGAATAAAGAGGTCCCCTTCTTCCCCTATTGTTCCACTTTCTGCAGAGGAAGCTCAACTACCTGCAGCTGGCCTTTTTTGGGGGGTGGAGGGTGCAGAACCTGGTGCCGCTGAGTGGACCACCTGAGGATGTTCAGGTCACACTTCTGGGGCTTTTTACATGTCCCCTCCCTCTGTCACACTCACATGCACACAACACACATGCACATGCCATTTTCTGGCCATTTGGAAACTCAGTGTGACACAGAAGAAAGTCCACAAGAAAGGCCTGGGTGCTCATCCACCTCTATTGTTCACTCCCAGGACCAAGCAAATCACATTCCCTCTTTTGTAAAACAGAGATGATAGGATTGGTGTGTTGAAATTTAAAGATAGAAAAACAAATGATAGGCATTGAAAGGTATTTCTGAAGAACCTTTCTCAACAGAGGCTAAGTATACAAAAGATATATCTTTTTTCCTAACCCTAATATAAGGGGGAATTAGTTTCACCATGAGAATACTTCAATATGTGATCAACACAAATATCAGGGTCAAAAGAGAGAAAGTGTATAAGTGAAATAACATTGATTAGTTATTTTGTATTTTCTTCATGTAGTTTTGCTGGTGACTGGAATACATTCAAATAAAGAAATGACAAAGAAGATTAAAAGGCCTAAATTCAGTAAGTAAAACTGTAATTCCTCACTGTCATAAGGCTTGTGTCTCCCATGAGGAGAGCTGTTACACTTGTTTTAGATAATTTGGAAGGTTGTTTTGGTTTTTGTTTTTTTCCTTATCTCAATCACTCTGCACTTAGACTAAATAGTTATGACTCTTAGTTATCACCCACTCCATTCCAAAGAGCAACTGAGATAGGAGGCCTGAGTTTGGGGTACAGGTATGCAGCTCCACTACCCTAGGAAGACTCAAAATACACACACAAAGGGCAACACTACGTCCCTGTGGCTAAGCTGTAGCAGGCAGTATTTTCCTGCCAGTGAGATGATGTCTCCAGTCCCCATATGAGAAAGTTCAGTCTGGCTAATGCAAAGGTCGAGCAAACCTGCCCACCTGCCAGCCCGGCCTGGAGTCAGGAGGTAAATTTCCCAGAAAATCCCATGAGGTTTCACATGCAACCCATGGAAAGAGGAGAAATCGGTTTCATTTTGGGGGGTATATCAGTTAAGATTAGATAACAGAAAATCTAACTGTTCTGATTAAGATAGAAGTTTCTTTCTCCTTTAACATAGTCAGTCTGAGTTTCTCAGGAAGCTTCACAATCTTCAAGGACCCAGGCTCCTTTGCCTCGTCGTTGCACTTTTCCCCACATGGCTCCCGACTCATTGGCTGTGATGGCTACCCCAGCTCCATCCATCAGGTTCACATTTTAGTTGGCAGGAAGGGATGAAAAGGGGCACATACCCACTCCCTTTTTTTTTTTTACTAATTTTTTAAAATATATATTTTATTGATTATGCCATTACAGTTCTATTTCCCCCTTCATTCCCCTCCACCTTGCACACACTTCCCCTACCATTCCCCCCCTTTAGTTTATGACCACCTGTCTCAAGTTCTTTAGATTCTATATTTCCCACACTATTCTTGCCCTCCCCCTACCTATTTTCTACCTACCATCTATGCTACTTATTTTCTGTACCTTCTCCCCCCTTCTCCTTCTCCCACTCCCCTGTTGCTAACCCTCCATGTGAGCTTCATCTCTATGGTTCTTCTCCTGATCTAGCTGCCCTCTTAGTTTGCTTTTGTTTTAGGTGTGGTTCTTAATAACTGCTGTCCTTTCACTGTTCATCTTTTTTATCTTCTTTTTCTTAGGTAAGTCCCTTTAACATTTCATATAATAAGGGCTTGGTGATGATGAACTCCTTGAATTTGATCTTATCTGAGAAGCACTTTATCTGCCCTTCCATTCTAAATGAAAGTTTTGCTGGATAGATCAATCTTGGATGTAGGTCTTTGGATTTCATGACTTGGAATACCTCTTTCCAGCCCCCTCTTGCCTGCCGGGTCTCTTTTGAGAAATCCGCTGACAGTCTGATGGGAACTCCTTTGTAGGTGACTGTCCCCTTATCTTTTGCTGCTTCTAGGATTCTCTCCTTCATTTTAATCTTGGCTAATATAATTACGATGTGCCTTGGTGTGTTCCTTCTTGGGTCCAACTTCTTTGGGACTCTGAGCTTCCTGGATTTCCTGGAAGTCTATTTCCTTTGCCAGATTGGGGAAATTCTCCTTTATTATTTGTTCAAATAAGTTTTGCTCTTCCCCTGCTGGTACCCCTATAATTCGGATGTTGGAACATTTAAAGATGTCCTTGAGGTTCCTAAGATTCTCCTCATTTTTTTGAATTCTTGTTTCTTCATCCTTTTCTGTTTGGTCATTTTTTTCCTCTTTCTGGTCCACTCCTTTGATTTGAATCCCAGTTTCCTTTCCATTACTATTGGTTTCCTGTGCATTTCTATTCATTTCAATTAGTTTAGCCTTCATATGTTTCTCTAATTTGTGACTATAATCAACCAGTTCTGTGAGCATCCTGATCACCAGTGTTTTGAACAGTGCATCTGAAAGTTTGGCTATTTCTTCATCGCTTAGATTTATTGGCTCTGGGGCTCTGAGTTGTTCTGGAGCCATGTTTTGATCTGTTCCTGCCTGTTACCTACAAAGAGATGTTCACAGGGCGGGACCACCCAGGTCGCTGGTTTGTGATGCTATATGTGGGGGTGGGTCAGAGAGAGGCCATCCAGGTCGCTGGTTTGTGATGCTGTGTGTGGGGGCGGGGTCAGAGAGGGACAATGGCAGTCCCCTCTGCCACTTTCCCCCACTGGGGCCTGCATGGTCAGTCTCACCGCTTTGATCCTTCACTGGTTTATCTGTGCTTGAATGTGTGACTGTGGTTAGCCATCAATGAGTCCACCACCTGGCGCCCTCAGTGGATCCGCCCACTACTCCATACCTGGGATCCACCTACGGCTGCCGGTGGGCCTGGGTTGCGTGCCCAGGTAAGTCCCGTGGATCTTTTCTGCCTGACCCTGCTCCGCTGCTGGCTCTGCCCCTCTTACCGGTTTGGCTGAAGGGTTTGTTATTGTCAGACTTCCATGTACTTCAATTTTCTGTGGTTTGGCTGCATTTTTGTTGTTAAAACTTTGTTGTTTTTAAACTTGGTTGTGTGAGAAGGCGCAATGCTTCCACCTACCCTCACTCCCTTTAAGAAAAGAGTTTGTTTGTATCTCTCAGAGCAGCTGCAACCTCCGTGGGGTTAAAGAGGAGTTCGGGCAGTCGAATACATGCCATTGGCCCTTGTTGAGGAAGGTGGGAAATGTCTTGATTTCAAGCCTCCACATGGCCAGGACAGAAGGGAGAAGGAATGCCGGGAAATAACCAGCAGGACGGGACGTGGACAGGAAATTGCACACTCAAATGCAGTGAGCACGCTGAGATATCTGAGTCCAGATTTGTAGGCTTGCTGGAGGCTTGTGTAAAGGCATGTGGAGAAAGGACCATAAAAGAGAGGCTTTAGATATAATCAGTGTCCTGTGCTCTCCTGTGTCTTCATAGGCATGGAATCATTTAGGTGTCTTGACATCACCAAATTAATAAGTTGAAATAGAAGAGATTTGCTTCACACACCATTCTCTTTTTTTCCCTGCTCTTTTAAACCCTCCCCATGGGATTTCTTGTTGAAATGAGACCAGAAGGGCAGCCTTCCACAGCCTCCTAGCCTGAAACGCTAAAAAGGAATCAGTTGTTCGTTTATTCCTGTCAGGACTGAGAGCCAAGAGAATAGGCCCAAGGGCAGATGTGTGTTCAAAACAATGATTGGGTTAATATGGAGACAAATGCACACCCAAGTATAAATTCCTTTGAGTTGTTTCCAGTATCTTCATTAGCTCATGTACAGAAATCATGAAAGGTGCCATGACAACAGCTTCAGTGACTGTGAAAATCTGCGCCGAGTGACCCCAGGGCAAACCTCTTTGAGAGATCGCAAATAGATTGAATTTCTGATATGCTAAACTCCACTCTTATTCTTGAAATCTCCCTAGCACATTTGAATCAATAAGTGCATGAGGCCTTTTTCTCTAATTAGAAACTGGCACGATCATTAAACAAAGGGGGAAAAAAGATACAATGAAGGTAATAGGATATTCCCAAAGCATGGCTGATATCTGATTCTTTACCTCAGGAGTATTTCCAAATTATAGTCTATAGCTTGAGGCCAAAGAGATTTTCATTTTTTCTACTCAGTGTGATGAATCTGCCACAGGGGTAAGTGACTGATGGCAAGGGAGCCACATCATTCATTCATTTGACAAGCATTTATTAGGGGCCAGCCAAATGCCAGGTACCATATTTAGATGCCAGATACAATGGCAATGCAGACACAATCTTTGCCCTAGTAGAACTCAAAATCCAGGGAGGAAGAAAGACAAGTCAGCAGGCAATTATAATGTATATACATGTAAGTGCTTGGACTCAGGAGCTAAAGTGACTCCGAGAATATGGAGAAGAAGCTGTGTATCTGGGAGGGCTTCCTGGAAAAAGCAATGCACACACACTGACATCTGAAGGCCAAATAGGAATTGGCCAAGCAATACAGAGAAAAGAGTATTATGAACAGAGAGAAAATATCACACCCAATTCCTAAAGAGTAGAAAGAACTTTTTAAAAGTAGCTAAGTATGGATGAAATATAGAGTAGGAGGTCAGCGTGTTGAGATAAGAGATGGAGGGGTAAGCAGGTGCCAGATCCTGCATATCTTGTTACCATGTCCAGGCATCTGGACTTCATCATGAAGGCAATGGGGAGTTTCTCAGTGCAGGTTATTTTGGATGCAACTAGCAGAAATCCAAAGCCAATTTGCTTAAGCAATAAAGAGGATTACAGCAGGATGTGGGGTAGCTTGCAGAACCCAAGGCAGGGATGACAGCTAGAATTCATTTGGACTGTCCCCCTGTTATAAACACCTCAGGAATCAGCACCTCTGCTTCCCTGTGTGTCTGCCTCACTGTCTCCCGCTCTCTCCGTGCAGACCATATCTCTCATCCAGATGCCAAATTCCTGGCAGGGGATAATCTGCTTGCATCAGCCTGTGCTGTGACAGCGGTTCAGAGAATAGTAAAGTGGATAGAGCTGTGTTAGGGAAATAAAACAATCCTGGCAACAACAACAACAATAAAAAAATCCCTTTGTACCAACATATAAAGACAGAAGAACGAGAACACAACTTATTAATGAATAAGCATTACAGATTTATACCCAAGTACAGATGGGATAAAAGTGTCTACCAAGAATTTCACAATAGTTCTACTCAGAATTTACCATGCAAATTTACAGTGAAGCAGAAAACAGAATAGTTACAACTTCTCTTATCTCCCTAAGAGATGAATGCACACATCTCACAGTTGTCTCTAGTATACCTAGACATCTCTGACTCCTCTGGGGTGTTTATGGATCCTTTTACTCTTAGAGTTGACACCTCAAAATATATCTTCCAAGGAGCTACTGAGGATGTTAAGCAGAAAAGCAAAATCATAAAAGCAGGGCTTTAAACAAATCACTGGCTTCAGTCAGTGGTTCTCAGAGGCTATGCCTAGACCAGCACCATCAGCCCGTCCTGGAATCTTCTGCCCACCCACCCCAGACCCCTAAGTCCAGACCTCCAGGGGGAAG